ACCTCCCTCGCCATGAGGACAGGGTGGCTCAGTGACACACAGTGCTGAGCTGCGGCCCTCGCTCAGGCCGTAAGCTGTGGGAGGTAAGAGGTGTTTCTCTCCCCCTTCTTCCACTTCCCCTCTTCTGGGAGTGGGAATTTCTGAGAAGAACAGAGCGTCAAGGATGGAAACGAGGTCAGGATGGACACAGGGTATGGATGGACGTGGGGTAAGGATGGACATGAAGGAAAGATGGAGATGGGATAAGGATGGATACAGGTAATGCATGGATGCAAGGTAAGGATGGATGAACAGGTAACCTTGCCTCCTGCCACAGCTAAAGCTGACTGTGAGTAAAATAGCCATGGCCTTCAGCCCTGGGTCCCAGCAAAAGATCAGGAAACACGCTGAAAGAGGCTGGGAATCTGTCCTGTACGGCAGGTCTCCAAAGCAACATCCCTAAGATCATTGCAATCACTTCTGCTGTCCCAGTCTCATGCCACACCTTCCAGAGAGGGAACGGCCAGGCACCTACTAAGCAATGCTGTAGCAGAAACTCCTCCCCGCTGCCGCCAGCCACCACCTCGCACAGCACACCGTGCACGGGACACAGCACCAAAACGCAGCAGCTAGCATGCAGGTCACTCTGCTAGTAACTCTGGCTATTCCCACCAAAAGTGGCATTCTTACAAGCATGTGACTTTCAGAAGCGCAGCACTATGCACAGAGGGAAACTGCCTGGAAAACAACCCAGACCAGGGCAGGAGGTAGAGCTGGAGAAGTCTGGCAGGGTTCAGGACATCATGCTCAGGGGTGTGCTATTCACCCTGCTTTTTGTGAGGAAACAGTTGGCCATTTTTTTCTCTAATGAGCAAGTTCTTTTAAGAGATTTTACTGTGCACCTAATAAAGCAGCTTCGTGCTCCCTCACTGCTGCTCCTACCTACTCACACAATATCATAAATCATAATGTTGGGAAAGAGAGGAGGAGAAGGCTTTTTAGTTTGCCTTTTCTTTCCTCTCTCAACTATCTCAATGCATTCATCAGGCAGAACACTAACGGAAAAACATGACCAAGCTCAAGGCCCTAGTAATGTCCAGAGAAGCTTTTTTATAAACTCTGTAAGTTCAATAAGCAGATACATGGCAGAACGGTTTGGGCTGTCTCAGAAATCCCAGCACCTCTCTGAAAGGAGCCTTTCTCACTCTTGCCCCTGATAACCAAACCAGCTGTTACATTTCTGAAATCTGCTCTTCCCTCTGGCATCCCATGTATTTCTCATTCACCAAGCAGCACTCTGCTCACTGCATTCATGCCACTCATATTCAGAAGTGCTAGTTCTGCAAGAGGCTCTGCTCTGGTATATTTATATTTAGCGAGAGCATGAAATACCTACGAGAGAAGGGCAAGGGAGGAGAAGGGAGACTCTTCTGTCTCCTTTCACTAATGGTTTGCTTTGAGGACAGGCAATGATAATGCATACCTCTTCTCACCCACAGATCTAACAGCACTTTTTACACTGGTGGGCAAGTAATACTAATGGCCTCTTTTATAAAAGGCTTAAGGTAAGGAGTTACCCTGCTCCGACTGAAATTTCATGGAGGCCTGGATGCATAACTGGAAGCCTGCCTTGAATTCCCAGCCACTGAGATCCCCCTGAAACTCAGGGCAAGGCAATGGCACAGCTCTGAACCCACATCTTCTCACTGAGTCCCCAGGCTTGCAAGCGTTTACGGCATGCGTTTGCACATCTTGTGTCTCAGTCTGGCAGCCTAGCCCCTGGGTCATGCTACCCCAGGTTAATTACTGAATGTCTACTAACCTCAGTTATGTGGTGGGAGTAAGGGAAAAATAAAAACAATTTGTCATACAACTAAACCAGTTCTGCATCCCCTGCATCGTTTGGCAATTATGGAACAAGTAACATGGTAGTACAGAAATGTATTTGGTCAAAGTAAGCAATCAATATTTTTTGATAAAATACATTCTATATTAATGCTCGTTCACATTTAATACACATGTAAATTAAATCTTCTGTGTATAAAATTCCAGTTTATTCTCAGTGCTGCCTGGTCATGCTTCAGTTCAGCAGCAGGGCTCCACACATTCGGCTCCCAGCAAAGTGAGAGGGGACAAGAACACTCAGGACCAAGCCTCACGCATCCCCTGGAGCTCCCAGTCCTGCAGGTTGCATTTGAACAAAATCTTGCTGGCTTCAGTGGGAATTTTGCAGGGGCAGGAACTGCAGAAGGGCCCCCCGGCTGTCCAGCACTTGCCGTCTGGTACGGAGGTCACCCAAACGGCATATGGCATTCCAAAAAAAAAGTGAGTTAGTGAATACAGAAAATATATCTACATAATTTACAGCTTTATGTTTGCTTGTCACCACATCAATGCTCAACCACTCATGAACAATTCAATCAATATGCAGGGAAAGGTAGCAGAGTGCAGTACATGTTACAACCTCCTGAATGCAATTACAAGCGCTGGATCTTACAGTCTTTCCTCATTTAATGAATTCCTGCCTGTCCTGCTGCCATCCAGAGCCTGATTTTCCACTGAGCCTTGTGGAGTCAATCCTCCACAGCATTTAGGCCAGTTCAGATTTGCGTCCGCACCTCCGGCATGGGCCCCTAACACCGTGCAAAGGGTGGGAGGCACCTTTGGCTGTGGGTCCTCAGCTACCGCCCGTGTCCGCCCTTGCACCCTCCCCTCTGCTGTGCCGCACTCGTCTGTGCAGCCACGCACTGAACCAGATGGTGGGACTGATCAGGCTGGAAAATTGCCTGTTTGTAAAAGGGCAGAAGGTTATTTCCCAGTCAAACTGACCCCGCAGCCCAGTGCACGACGCAGCCGTGCCTGGGGTGTCTGCAGGTGTGCATGCGGGTGCGTTCACGTGCGTATGGGTGCCAGTCACCTGCACCTAAGCAAAACAGGTGCAAGCAGCTAGCAAACCTCAACAGCAGGACTTTGTCTCCAGCTTATGCTACTGCAAATTATGTCTTGCAATCACGTTACAGCAGAGGAAAGTCATCCCTGAAAGATCTGCTTGTGTGAGCTGCAACCAAAGGATTGGATGCCACAAAGAGAAAGGTTCTCCCAAAGCAAGGCTCTGTTTAAGGTTGTGGCATCTGTTTTAGCTGGAGAGGAAAGAAAAACTTAGGGACTTAAAGCAGGAGTGGAAACCACTGGTCTTACACTTTATTTTAGTAAGCAAAAAGCCTATTGCTGCTGTACAGTGTTATACAATGAACTGCCACGGTTCTCACGTCACTAGTCCATAAAAATGTGCTGCGACTATCATGTTTACGCCTGCATGCTGAAAGAATGTACAAAGTTGCATTAAGCTCTGTTTGTCTCTCCCTTTTTTTTTTTTTTTTTTGTATTCTTAAACTCCAATTTCTACAGTGTTGCAGACACTTCTGTGCATACTCAGGCACCACACACCGTCCCCATTACGGAAGGTCTTTGCCCTAGATTGGAAAAATCAAGTGCTATGTATCTCTCAAGCCACCATCAGAAATGTAAACCACCTAGAAAACTTACTCTTTTAAGTAACCTTAAAAAAAAAAAATCTTTAAAAAGATCTATTGGAAAGGAGATGTCGCTAACAACAAGGTTTTCAAAATAGTGTTGAGTTGTTTCTGGGAGTTGTCCAAGCATTTTCTCTTTGCTCACTTTTTGTTTTTATAAAGCTAATTCTGTATAAAAGGGCTTTTGAAGCGTGTGACCTTCATTTCATGATTTAAAAAAAAATTTGGAAAAAAGGAGGAAATGTAGAAACGTTTTGCTCGATTGTGGAAAACAGCTGTATTACAACAGAATCCCCTTTGCTTCTTATATTTTCAGTACAAAAGGCAAGTAAATAAAGAGACCCTGCATCTTCACAGTCTGGCACTGATCTGAGTCACTTAAATCTGTGCAAAATAGGTATAAAATACAAGGGGTCGTCTTCTCCTTTATACCAAGACCCCACCAAATCCCTCTGGGGAGCAAGTCCCCAGCTAAGTAAAACCTCACTAGTTTTTGTGTCAGCCAAAGTAGTAGTATTTTAGCTCCCCTCCGACAAGGTGTAAATGCCTGAACTAGCTCAAAGGCTAGGGAGAGGAACAGGTCCAGCATAATTTTAAAAGCCATGTGCTGGTTTATATCCATATGGCTTCAAAGTTAAGTTGCACTTTAATTCATGATGCTGTGATGTTCGAGTAATAATTTAGCAATTTATTAAAACCAGTGAAGCTTAAAGTTGGTTGTCATGCAGAAATGGGATAGGTGATGGCTATTTTTTAATTGATTTGTAGGAAAGCAGCATGTGGCTTTGGATCAAATGGTGTCGGAGTACCAGGGTTGGTTATAATGTGTACTGATACTAATTACTCCCAGTTATTAATCCAGCACTTGTAAACTCAGGTGTCAGTAAAGTGACATTAATACGTCCGATACCAATAGTCCCCTGGATTTCCCACTCCCCGTTATTTTTGTTAAGCCTTCATGTGCACTTCTGCAGTACCAACCACTATTAAACTAGTGTTTTTCAGGCGAAATCTCTCCAAGTTTGGTACTTTGTCAAAAAAAATAGCTGCTGAACTAAAAAGAAAAGCGCAGGTTGTGTTTGCTGTCTGCGCTGGTTTCCTTGGGAAGGTCACTGGTGAGGAGTCAGCACTCTCACCACACGCTTCCTACATTCTCGGTACTCTACATTCATGTCAGTGAACGCTACTCTCGAACACAAATCGAAGAGACGAGTCAGTGACAAAACTACTTCTAGACTGATAATGGCAGAATGCTACCAAGACAACTCCATAGAAAACCCACTGAAGCAGGAGCAAAATTCAGGTCACTTCTTAGCAATGCTCATCACAGACTATTATTAATTTATTTTTTTTAAAACCATTTTGTAAAACTTTTATCCTGGGAGCCAGATATCCCCATGTGATGTGCTAATTCGAACAGGCTAACGTGGGACCCCCTGACCCCACCTGGTACCAAAGGCTTCCAAATTTTTTTAGCTTCTCAGAAAATCACTGCTGACTGACACCCATCTGTTGGTGATCGGCTTCTGGCTCCTCTTCTTCCACATCTGCGTTATATTCTTCAAATGCATCATCATCAACATCTGGAAGCCCAAGTAACTACAAAGAAGAGAAAAAACTGTGTAATAGTGAATTACCCACTCATGCAGCTTCGCTGCCTCCACACAATACCTTGGTGCCACTTCTTGCAAACCTCAAACCCTGGAATAATAGTATTGCATAACAATCTTGACTGCCTTTCTTCTCCCTCCTGTGATAGATTTCAAAATGCATCCTCACATCAAATTAAGTGCTCAGAGACCAGAAGATAAATAAAACCAAAGTAAAGCACTTGCAAAATGCTTCACGTTCTTCCCTGAGGTCGTATCACGAATTGTCAAGTGTTTAGACTTGGCAGTGGTTTAACTTCAGAAAGAACCGTGATAATACTGTAGCAGTAGTTATCTCGGTTTGAGATTGTGTTCAGCAGCCCTGTAAAAGCCAAAGCAGCAAGCATCCTTATGCAGAACTGACTAGTCTGGAGTAGGCAAGGAGTCCCTAAAAACCTAAAGATCCCACTGTGTTAAGTGCTTCTCTTGAACCCTTCACTCTATCACACCAGCCAAAGCCTTGCATGCTGGGTGAAGCCCTCGCAGTGAGAAATACTGTGTATTCAACTGAAAATTGTCTGCGTCCCTTTAAATTTCTGCAAATTAGATTTGGGCTTGTGAAGAACTGCCGACCCATCTTCCTTGGACAATGCCTCCCATCACTGCAACGGCACTTGTTCGCTGCAGGAAAAGGAGGAAACAGCGATGTTTCAACTTTTCCCCTCTCCTCCAAAAGGTTGCCAAGCCAACAGAAGTCAGGAAGACAGATAAACCAAATAGTAGTCAAAATAATGCATCTGTTGTGGAAATCTCCTATTAGAACCCTACACTAGCAGCTATTAATAGCCACAAAGCAAAATCATATGCCAGGCATTATCGGGAATACCATGTATTTAGCTTGCCAGGGCTGGAAGAGCAGCACAGATGCATGCAACACCCTGTTTGGAGAGTGACGCAGCTGTCGGCTCTCGAAAAGAGGCAAAGCCCAGAAAAATCGGGAGGAGGGTGACACTCACTAGGTGGTAGCATGAAAATGAGAAGGCTGTGACAAGGCAGATTTTTAGGGACCTAAACTAATTTAGTCTGTGATCAACATTCAAAATTATTCAGTGGACAGAAATACAATGCACAGAATTAGCCTGTGGGTCCAATGAAGCTTGTACTCCTCACTGTCCCTGGGAGAAAACCAGTTTTTTAGTTGCAGGGTTCCTTCCGCAGGGAAATGGAATGAGAATTTGCTGACTAAACCCCCTCCTTTGCATTTTAAAAATACTTAACAGGGAGACCCCAAGCTGAAAGTGTTCTTGTTTTCTGAGCAGAACGAAGAGGAAATATTCCTATGGATACATATTTTTCAAATCAAATGCTTAACTGAACGTGAAACTACTTGGTTCATTTTCAGGATGCGGGGGTTTTGTTTCACGTTGAAGCTAAAATTAAAATACACAGTTTTTAAAATGCAAAAGCAAGGCCTCTAGACTTTCTGATCCACCAGTATTATTTTCACTAAACTGATTCGGTGTATTCAAATTAAATGTGAGTGTTGTACTGCTCTGTTTATACCACCCGGCAGAAAGAGCTTTGATCACATTTTTTGGCCCAGCTCTGGTTACAAATCCTCCTTGATTTGCAGGGAAATGAGCCACATAAGTCTTCATTTTATGGGATACTGTAAGCCTTTCCCATGCAAAATTAGCACAGAAAACACAACGTACACCACAAGAACTGCAAAGACACACACAGTCCCAAAGGATGGGGAGCACGTCCTGTTTTTCACACACTCCCTCTCCCTTTTCCCTCAGGAAACCCAGCTCTGCTCTCCCTGGCACAGTGTAAATCAGAGTGACGCTGCAGACGTTAGTGGTTTTACGGAACATAGGAAGGATGGGGATGGGACAGGATGGGATGCTCCTCCAAGAGGCGCAGTTTTGTTCTCTCACAGACACTTTAGGATCTTCCAAGGCACCAAGGACCTTGGCCATGCAGGTCCTGCTGTTAGGGGTCGCATCTTACCGCTGCCCACAGGACTGCAGTCTCTCACCACTGCTAACCCCTGACAGCTCTCTGGACTGCAGTGACAAACCAGCCAACATCTTGACCCCAAGGAGCAGGGATCAGGGTCCAAAGTGCAGGGAGCTCTACAAACATTGGGCCAAAGCAGAAGGAGGGAGTATAAAAGATGAGGACAAACTAAGACGGTGAAGGTGGCCTGAGTTGACCCTAGACCAACTCCCATTTTGTCTTCTTTCAAACACACTAGTTTCTGCTTCTAGTCCATATCTACTTTATATACTAAAGTATCAGCTACGTGGCAGACCGGAAAGGACTTTAATGGAGAGTGAAAACAAAGAGGATAGAGGTAAAACAGCAAAGAGGTATAGAAAGAGAGAGCTGATCCATGAGCCAAATAGGCAAGGGGAACAAAACTGACAGGTGGGGACACATGGGGAGAAGGAGGACAGTGGGGTGGTGAGGAGGGAAGGAGGACAACCACCAGTGGCAGCACCACCCGAACTACACTTCTTTGCTCCTGCTGGCCAAACTACCCATCTGGAGGTAAAGGAGAGGTCACTGGGACATGTATGAATTAGAATGAGTATGGGATAAATGGCTTTTACACTGCAGACTCCCCCGTTCAGATGTAGGCTTTTCAGGCTGCAGGTAAGCTCAATGTGGGAGCCCTGGAATTTGCCACTGAATTGTAAGACTCATGTTTTGGTTCTCTGCAAACTCTGCCAGTTGGTGCAATGTCCCTTAGGCATTTTTTATTTTTTGTCTTTCTTTTCTCAAAGTGTCCTGATTTTATACAAATAAACTAGTATTTTTTAAGTTGCAAACTCACAAAAGCAGAGTGACATTGCCTCCTGCCAAGAGCTGATGCACAAACACACTGAAAAATAAGCCAAGTACACGACCAAGCTTTAGTGGTCCACATGATACTACACCAGAGATAACGTGGTTCTGTCAAATCCTGGTGTGAAGGGCTTAGCCTCTAGGCAGATGTGCTTACAAGCACCAGCATGGACACCTCTGGCACCAGAGAGAGGGGCACTGGAGGAGCTGAGACACTCTGAGGCAAATAGTGGTATTTGAGCCCAGTGCTACTGCTATCACTTCATGTACCTGCATGGCATCTGGCACTTTTGGATGCTCCCTGAGTAAGTGGATGATAAGGCAAATCACAGAGTCTTGTGGAAACCGGCCCAGGAAGGCAGTAATGGGCAGAGACAACATGCCCCCCATCGCCTTCAGCAAAGCAGCAGCTTGACCTTGTCTAGAGCAGGATTTAGAGATGTGGTTTAGCTGTTGAGGGTTAACCGACACTTTTTAAAAGCCTTGTCTAAATAAATGTTCTGCACTGGCACTGTGTTTATGCCTGTAAAACATAAGGGAGAGAAGCCTGAGAGCAGTGAGGGCTGGTGAGCAGCCCTCAGACCACCCTCATTGCTTCCTGCATCCAGCGAGCAGGGGGAAATCTCTGTCTCTCACTGAGAAGGGATGCCAACCGCTGGGCATCCCCGCTCTCACTGGTTCCGAAACACAGGGCCCAGAGGCCTGAGCAGCCTGTCCCTTGCCACAGCCCCAGGGTAAGACTGCAGACATGGCTGGGCTGTTATCATGAATGTGTGGAGCAGGGCTGAGCTGAGTCACCGGGCAAAAATCAGTCTGGGAGCCCTCAGTTAAGGGAGGGCAAGTACTCATGCCGTGCATGAGGGCATGGAGAGCTGCAGATGCACTGCTTGACGTCTCCTCCTAAACATTTCCCTTTGAAGAACCCTGACAAAGACTTTCAAAACTGCTTAATAATTTTGGATGTCAGTCTGGATATACCAAAATGAAAAAGACTTTCAGAAGGCGCTTACCAAGCACATGCTAAAAACCTGGCCCCTCTTCAGTGTCTCAGATTGACTAGTCAGGACCATCAGACACTTCATCAAGAGCCCAGTCTGACCTTCAGCAGTAGTTTTTCCTAAACTGCCATGTTTCAAACTGAAATTTGCCAGACTTGTTTGGGGTAGTGGAGAGGAAATGCCCTGCAAATGCACTGTTACCTCTGAACTGACAGCAAGGTGGTTTCATTAGCAGAACAGGTCCAGCAGAGAAAGGACGGGGGACAGCGCAAAGTAATGTCAAAGAAATACTTTCCCAATACTGATGAAAAGTGGTTTTGTTCTGGCAAAGGCTTCAGGATGCAAAATAACTGTTTCCATACATCTGTTGTAACACCCTTCACTTTTAAAAATCTATCCTACCATGCATGTGCTATTTTTAATAATTACATAAGGGAAAAATGTCAATACATTCCTTATTACACTTGTCTACACACAACCACACCTCAAATGATAAACCCAATTTTGTTAATGCTGATGCAAATCTCTCAACACTAGGTCAAATGAGAATTTAAGAAACTTAATCTTTGTGGTACATCCAAGAGAAAATAAAGAGGTACTTGACTGAAGTCTGCAAGAGGTCTCTGACAATTGAGAACACGGTTTTTGAGCAGACAAAAGCATACTGAAATTCAACAGCTAGGAAGCAAAACCAGAAAAATGCAGATTGTAAATAAAAGAGGTTTTCATAGAAGCGTAACTAATGGTGAGAAGAAAAAGTGCCCAGCAGTGCTGTATCCTTTAAGTCACCTGAAGACTCTACATCAAGACTGGGTGTCTTGGGAAAAGGCACGCTCCAGCTCAACCACAATTTATGTGCTTGGTTGTGGGAATCATGGGGTGAAATGTGATGGATTAACAATGGGCCCTGACCAAATGAGCGTAATGGTTCTCCTTGCTTTGAACCTTTTTATTCTGAAGAGTAGCTTAACTTGGTTTGACTGAAGCCAGTTTCTCAGTAACTTAAGCTATGCTGAAATAAATGTGGTTTAAATGAAATAAACTATCTGTACCAATTTAATTAAGTCTTTTTGAAGTCCTCTTTAGCTAAAAAAAAAAATGGAAGTTTCTCCTCAAAGACACAGCCTTTCTGAGCAGGAGAAAACAGCTATGAAGATCCAAGAGCTAAATATTGTTCTGGGAAACATATTTATACTTTTGCATGTTTTCACAATTACAAGCAGCTGTACTGACAGATCAGATTTCCAGTCCTTTCTAAGAAAAGCGTGCATCTGTTCTATTTATTTCCAGTCTCTCAAAGGATTCTTTAAAATGATGCTCTTTTATGTCGACCAGCTGTGGTGGTCTGCGGCAAGGCAATGCAAGGGTGTAACACAGGGAGGGCCAGTGTTTTCGTATCGGCGCTCCAGGCCCTCCCTTTCACTCTAAATACTTGGGATACACTTTCAATCTTCTCCATTAGTCAGCCAGAAAAGAGAGGAGGGAAAAAGGTCTACATTTTCAGTTGAGTATAAAAACATCCGTTGGTCAGCTTTCCCATGGACATCATGGGAGCACGGGTCTGGCAATGAACCTCCGCTCTGCTTTGCACCAGCCCCTTACCCAGCCCCAGGCCCTCAAGAGGAGAGGCTGTGCAAAGGGAGGATTTGGCAAAAAATGAAGGACAACAGTCAGCCTAAGTCACCTCCCCCTGATGAAACCCAGGCTTCGACCCAAATCTTAGTGTTAAACAAGGACAGAGAAACCCGAGTAGCAGCAAAATAGAAAAATACAAGCCCCTTCCCCACAAAACCCAGTTTCTGCTCCAACTTCTTCTCAAGTGACCAAACTGGCATTTGCAAATACCAAGTGGCAACCATCCTAACAGCAAAATCTGGACTGCTTGGGGGAAAAAAAAAAGCCAACTCTAAAACAAAACAAACCGCTTTGAGGAGAAACCGAATTTCCAGCTTCCCAGAGGTTTACTCTCGCTACTCAGATCCTTGCAAAACTCTCCAATTCCAGTGCCAGGAAATAACTCTGCCACAAAGTCCCGTGGCGCTGACTTGCATCCCGTTCCTCGGAGTCAGCACTGCATCAGCAGGACGGGAGCCCCTGCGCAGCTGGGGAGCCGGTGCCACCGGCTGGCCCCCCCGCAGGCCTCCCCCCCCCCCCCGGGGACTCCGGCGCAGCGGGGGAGCCGGTGCCACCGGCTGCCTCACCAGTTGGCCTCCCACCCCGCGCGGGAATCTCATCCTCTCGAACGCAGAGATGGAAATAAGAAGCCAGCTGGCTTCCAAGAAACAACTTCCAATCACCTGATTGTGGCTTACGTGCTAACACCCCTGCACCCAGGCAGCTGACTGGAGATGTAAGTCCCTGCAGAAGAAAAAACACCTTGCTCCATCCAGTGCTAGCCCATTAAAAGTCACAGATACCTGTCAATGTTTAGAAGTAAAAAAGAGGCACTTACGGGTCTGAAGGATTTGAAGACTTTTTCCAATATTTCATGGAGTGTCTTTTTCCCACAGGAGGAGATGTAGTCCTGTGCAAGCTGCAGAAAAGGTAAGCAGTCCTCACTTTCGCTCCACACGTGCTGAAAGCCAACAGCAACACAAGAAAGAAAAGGCATTAATTAACAGGAATTCACACTGGCCTTTCCACGTGATTTTATAAGGTGACATGTTGTAAACATCTGCCAAAGTACACTGGGCCTCTTGCAGTTCAGACCCGCACTGGGGATGGCCACTATAGGCTGTTTCAGAAGCCATGCTTCTGAGGAGGAACCTTGGTTTTATTAACACGATGCATCAGAAAGCAGGGAAATCAATCCAGAAGAGAAAATGCCTTATGACTGCACCAGCAATGAAGGGTACGCACGCCTTGCACACGCGCATTTTACAAGTAAAAGTGTTTTCATTTGACATCAGCCCTGCTTAGCCCTGGAAGTCACGTCGGGTTTTCTCTTCTTCTGCATCATCCGCTGCAATGAAGCCCTCAGGAAGAGCTAAAGCATCTCTTTGTCTTCCTGGCGCTAGTGCAAGCATGATGAGACCCTGGAGGTGGAACTTGATGTGTAATTCTCTTGACAATGCAGAAGAAAAGATGCAAAATATACCCGCAGGTGAGACACAAGAGCCAAAGGGAGACATTTGGACACTCACCACATCCTGACACTTTATGCCTCCCTCCCTGTTTTGAAGTTTACTCCTCCTAGACCCAAATCTTCTCTTCCTGGGCAGGCACATATAAGCCTATTTGGGATATTCCTCTCGTCTCGCTCTCGCATCGGAGATGCTGGTTCCCCAGCCTGGCTCTGCGAAGCCTCTCCCAAGATCAATGCTTATTCTGCTGCTACGAGGTTGTTTGAAACAGCGACGGTGGAAGCACTCAGGCTCCTGCAGACAAAAGCAGCATGCAGCACAAGCTAATGCATACCTTTTAAAGACCTTCTTTTTGAAGACTTTGTGCACAGGACTGTTTTAGGCAGTCTGCTACACAGAGAAGTGCAATACTGCAAAATTGGTTTGCGACTCTTATACCCCTGTTTTTGCACAGCGGCTCTTTTCCCCAAAGTGCCGTGCAGCTTTTTACTGTGCTATAAACAGTGAGTTACGCTTAAACAAGGGAAGAGGAGGGTCTCTCTAAAGCTTAACTAAGATTCAGGGGAAGAGTAAGAACAACAGATGTTTCAATCCCTAACATGAGGCTTGCAGGTCGCCTTCTTGTTCAGTGGTGAATACCTGCCAGGGACACAGTTTTACACTTATCAAAAGAAAACACTGCTTAACATCACCTAAGCTACATCTGTAACTGCCTTGCTATGAGCCTCACTTGACCTACATTTTCTTTGCTGCTTATTGCATTTTACAAGCATAAACATAGTGAAATGTTTTGTTATGAAGAGAGCCCTGCCTTAGTGAGTAGGTTCTGCTCTTTCCATATAACCAGAGTCATCTCTTAACCAGTCTGGCAATAAAAATAAGTTCTTTACAGTCTTGCCAACTCTCAAAGGCACATACCACAAGTCTCATGATACTTCATGCCATCTTAGAGTCATGGGCCTTGTAGTCCTATAAATATACAACCAAATCTCAGCTTCTGTTTACCAAAAAACCAAAAAAATTAAGACGTCTGCACTTTGTGATTTCTATGGCTTAAAAAGGCAGAAGGTACATGAAGTGAACTCAAAGGAACCCTCTTTATAATATCAAATGAATACACTCAAATCACAACATTTTACAGCCTCGAGATTTTGGAGGTCTGGCCCAAGATTCCTTAATACTTGCGGTTAGCAATAACCGTTTAGTTACTTCTAAACTTTGCGTCAACCTTAAGAGCTGGGTGTTGCAGCTTGGCAATTCATGGCTTGTGCTAAACCTGTTGTAATTGTTTGTATGTATAAAACGATTATGGCTGCTAACATTCTGATTCTTGTTTAAATTGTGGTTTCTTTTGACTACCAGAGCTATATACAGGAGCTTCCACATAAATGAAAATCAGGCCCTGCCCTTTTATAAATAATAGTTAGTTTGTTCCCCAGGGAAAGTTAACCCCGTGTTGTCCTATCATGTTTTTACAGTCTCTTTTCAAGCTGCACCATGTTTTAGATTCCAGCGTAAATTTGTCAGCAGTAGCGCCGAGTAAGATGATCTAGTACGGGAGGAAAACCTAAGTGAGTAACTTGATCATTGAGCCTTTGAAGAGACTTTCTTGCATAGCACCATAAGGCAATAAGCAAGTAAGGCTTCCAACAATTTCCACATCTGCAGAAGATTTGAAACTTTGGCTGTAGCCACAAATGCACTACGAAAGGTCTCACATGCCATGAGAGCATGCATCTCATTCGGAAATGGCTTGATTTCATCTTCCCTCCCCCCAAGAAAACTCAACTGTAATACAGACAGACAAGGATTATAACACCTGTAAGTTCAGGTGCACCTCTGGGGACGTTCAGCAATGCACCGAGGCAGTGCAGGAACTGAGTCTCACCACTGACTCACGTATCTCCTGAGGAACCACCTGCAAAAGGAATTTCGGCCTCTCAAAACAAACACAAACGTAATTTCAAAGTTCAGCTCCTGCTTAGAAAGTTAGAGCAATCAGCGACACTGCACAACCGGAGATGCTTTTCCTGGACCCCCCCAGGCCCGAGGATCTCTTTGCAGCGGGAGAAGCGGGCTGCTGGCAAACCGGTGGACCACAGTGCTCAGCCGTGGCTGCGCAATTAAAAAAATATTAACCTCATCATCTGAGTATGTGTTTTCCAAGCTTGCCCAGTTTTGCTCACAGTTGCTTTGTGTCACTACAAAAGCACAGAGCCACTAATATCCACCTCAGCTGACCTAGAATCATGGCTGAATTATTTAGTTCAGCATCTACACACAGCACATAGCTAAGGCAATTCATAGGGTTGCATCTGGAGGGGTTTGCTTTCCCTCACGCTTTTAGACTATTCAGTGTTGCTGGATGAGAGAGTCACTTGCTCGACCACCTTTTTCTAACCAGCCTACCTGTTCAGCATGGCAGCAAAACTTTTTCTTTGTGGGGATAATTCAACTTGCAGAAAATATTCAGACTCACTGACTCTGTTCTAAAATATTTTACAGGAAATCATGCATCAAGGTGGCATCATATTTTTATTTGCTTTATCGGTTGCTAGCAATAACACAGCGGGAAAACAAATGACAAACTATAAGGAATAGCATCGCAACCCTCACCCTCATTGGTTATGGCTATACAAGCTCTATGAATTCTTTGAGAACACCAGAAGCCTCAGGAGCTAACGGCTATCAAAAATGCTGATTCAGAGAGTTTTAGTGTCCAAGTGGTACTGAAAATGCCAATAGGCATCTAGATGGGTCTTCTGCAGCCCTACCACGTTGAAAACCTAGCCTAAAGATACCTTTTCAGGAAATTAAAATTATATGATTGTTGTGATCTGGAATCTCTGATTTTATACAAAATTCAGAGTTATTCTCCCCCAGATTGCACCTTGGCAATCTTTCCATGTTTTTCTCCTCCTCCCTGTTAAGTTCACCATGCCCATCATTTCCTCCTTACAAGTGGGTTATCATGGACTTTTCTGGCACCTTCTGCACAGCTTTTTAAAAGTTGCGTTATTACAAAATGAAGACGTAAAGAAAGAGAACAAGAATACCGGGCACCAGATGCTTCTTAAATGTGAGGTTCCTTTCTAAGAGTCACAGGGTGCAAAAAAGGCCATAAAGTGTTACTGTTAATTCTGTTTATATTTACTCACTTTCACACTCCATTGTGTTACTGGAGCCATGCAACAAGGCTCAAGTGCAAATGAGAATCAGTCCCCTGGCTTGTATTAAGTCTCCTTAAAATAAACTTCAGCCTGTAATTGCATGTAGAAAGGAAACTTCTCTTCTGGAACATAAAAAAAGCAAATGACTGAAAAAAAAACAAGATAGCCAAGCTGGAGGAGAAATGAGGTCCTGCAGCGCACTAGGGCCAGAAAACGCGATGCTGGTAAATCAGCTTATTAGTGGTTCTTAATTGTATTAAAGAGACACCATCAACAGGAAAAGAGTTAAGAATGACACCTATCTGCCTTGTCTTAAAAGTATTATTATTACAAAAAGTGCCTCAAGTAATAACGCCAAAAAAAGCCAGAAGAAAACACTGCTTCTAGTTTTCCACTGTTTATGTTCTGCATTTGACAGGAGTTGGCCCTTCTGCTCAGCTCTACTACTGGCGGCTCTGGGCGAGGAGTCCTTCCCACAGCAACCCTGGAATGAAAATATTTGCCAAAAAGAAAAAAAGGAAAAATGTGGCTGCAAACCCACAAAAACTGGCCAGTGTTGGAAGCATGGGAATAGGGGCTGAAACTGCTTAAGATTTTTTTTAAAGTTGACTAGATTTTGTTTTGAAAGAGTTTGCTCAATTATTGAGCTGCCTATAAAGAGACAATATACATCTAAGAAAAATAATGAGCTTTCTTTGCAATTTCTGCTATCATTAGCATCCAATCACAACTTTAAGCCTAGTCGTGCATCAGATTCATATGTAAGCCCCGCTTTAGAGTCCAGCGGGCACAGGCCCTTTTGGGCACGGGCATCTCTAGAACGGAACGAGTGCCGGGGTTTGACAGGCTCATAGGTGCTGGAAAGATGGGTGTGCAGGGTTGGTCCCACCATGGACCGGGAGAATCCGCACCCAGAGACGCTCCGCTGCCACGGCCGGAGGTCTCACGTACCCCTGGACAGATGCATAACTAATCTCCTGGTAACATTTTTCATAATTCAGCATGACCATCTGCCCGGCACAACAAATAAAAGTCCCGCTTGCTCGGATTTGTGGTCCTGGAGAAGTCACTTCACTGCTCTTTGTTTCCACGAACCCATCTGTCAAATGGGCTCATACTGCACCTACCTGCTGGAAAGGGAATTAATTAACATTTGTCAAGCACGTCAAGGGATGAAAGTTGCTCCGGGAAGGGAAGGAAGGGAAGGACCTGCAACATTCCTACAATAACGGTCTGTGCTAGGAGCTATTTTTTGTGTTTTAAATAAAACAAATCCTTTCATTGCAGTCAGCTGGCGCTTTGCAGGTTACAAACCCGGTGGCGAGGTGCAGCTTTTCGGTAACTCTTCTTGC